AAAACTGTTGGGGCCACTCCATCCTTCTGAGTGCAGAAACACACGAAAAAGTGAACAATTTGCATTCCTCTAATGATTTCTGATGGGGACAGTTATGGGTTAAGTTACCTTTCTTATTAGCTAGCATGAGATCAAGACAGCCGTTGTGTGTAGTATTTCTTGCATTCTTTCTGTTTCTACAGTTGTCACTGCCTTAGAACAACTTTGTCTCGTGTGCAAGTTTAGTAGTGTTTCTGGCTACCATAAAGTGCTTTTCAACCTTGCCTTGCCTGAATAGTTGCTTTTTCTAGCTAGGTCCCTCTGTCCTTGTTCTTCCAGGCCACCCATATCTTCAGCCACGTCTTCTGTTAAAAAAGTGGAGAATGCAGGTGTTAATGGAAAACTGCTGTGGAGGCAAGTGTAGCTGTGCATTAGTAACAAGGTCAGAAGACTGATTCTTAATCTCGGGATCTGCTATCGCTGTCTGTCGCCCGACCTTGGAGGTTCGCTGGTGTTTTGGAAAGGGCTGAATTGCTGGCGGTCGGGTTTTTTTAATATGCAGTTGTAACAGGCTTCGGGGGGAGAATCGGAGGAATATTGTGCAGGAGAAATCTGATCACCGCTACAAGGTTAAGAAGAGGAAAGGGGTGTGATAACACAGCATCTGTGCGGCAAGACGGGGGATGGGAACCCGAGGGGATCACATCCGGAGCAGTTCTGCCAGTGGGATAACAGAGTTGAGCTCCAGCTGGAAGCTTGCTGCTCTGCCTGAGCAACGTTCCTCGTGGGCTTCCCAGCTGAAAAGTGGAAGTAAGTAGGTCAGGAACACGCACCTAGATAAATCCACCCGCAGAACTGCCTCGTGCGCAGTAAAAACAGTGCTGTGTTTCAGAGTCAAAGTTTGTCTTCGTCGCTGTAAATGACTAAACTTGGCAGCACACCCCTCTCCTGGCACAGCTTTCCAGCGCTCGCTTTGCGTTCTTGCATCGTGCTCCATTGGTTGTACTAGAAAGTTGTTATTTCTGGAAGCTTTAAAGGTCTGAAGTTCATGCATTTTTTTTTTTTATTTGCATTTGAGAAGTAAAACCAGTCCATGGGGCAGTGCTTAGGCAGAGCATGAAAGATGGAAAACCAAAGCGTGGCTATTCCTGTGGCAGTGGTGGCTGTCGCTTTTTGGAAGCAGGTCAGGTTTTAGCCGATAGTAGCAGGGCTTTCTAAGGGTTAGCGTTTGGTTCTCACCTCCTACAAGTGTGGGGTTGACGTAGTAGAGCACATGCATGCCTGTTTGGCAGTTGAGCTTTCTGTTGCATTCCACCTTCTTAATGTTAGTGAGCCTGGGACGAGTGGTTATCTGGCATTTTCTTGACAATTCAGCATAGATGCACTTACACAGGTGACAAACCTTCCCTTTTTGGGTGGGAAAATACATCTGCACTCACAGAAGTAAGCTATTTTCTCAAACTGAAGAAATAACTGCTGTGGTGCTCACCAGCCACTTGACCGGTCCTGAGGGGAAAATCCCGTGAAGCAGGCCACTGAAGTAAGGTTCCCTACGGCTAGGTGATGTTAGAGTAATGGCATGATTTTTTTAAAAAATGTTTTCCTTAGTTTGCCCTTCTCTTTACAGAGAAAAGCTCTACTGCAACCCTTTGACGAAGCTGCAGGCTCCGGGGAGTGTTATGTAGTTACTGTCCAACACCATAAAACTGCAGGATCGTGACTCTTGCCCTGCTTGCCTCGAGCTCCTGCGGGTCGGATTAGCCTGACACCAGCCCTCCTTCCCAGGCTCTCTGCTAGCTAACCTCCCGCCGTTGCGCTTGGATGAGGCTGGAAGTGGTAACGGGGATATTGTCTGTTAGCAAGCCGTGCTGTGCCGAGCGCCCAGCGGAGCAGGCACTGGGGGTAAGACTGTCCGTACCGCCGGAGGCGCTGAACCCTGCGGAGCCTCTGCCAGCCTGGAAGCTCAGTGCGCAAGTTGGGCTGGGGTTAAGGTGGGCTCTGGTGCCGGTATGGCACTGTGCAAGGTAGGACAGGGTGCTCGACGTCCCTGGCAGAGGGGTTTCTGCGGGATGGGCGAGTTTCCCAGGCTCTCGCAGAGCCACGGGGAGCAGCCGTCCAGCCTGTTTCCCTGGGGCTGTGTGGCGGCTGGCACAGGGCTGGCCGGGTGGGAGGCTGCGGGCTAATCGGCACATCTGCGCTGCAGGAGGCAGGAAGGCAGTGGGAGCTGCTGAGGACAACATCGCAGCCATCGCATCTCCTCTACAAACCCTACCCAGAGCTCCCTGCCATCGCCTCTGCGGGTCTCGGGGCTCTCAGCCACGTTAAGGTTTATATAGGGCTCTCAGAACTGGCGAAGTTAGTCTTTCCAGGCTTGTGCTGCATGGAGTTTTCTCCAGTGCTGGAGACAGGCGTCAGCGGTAGTGTGGGGTGAAGCTGGAGTCTTCCCTGTGACGCTGTGGAGCTGTGGCTGCTGCCTGCTGGTGTGGCTGCTTCTGTCTGCAAGGCCAATGTTCTGCCGGTCCCACTGCACGCAGTCGATGGGATAGTTCACTCTCTTGAGCTCTCGCTGTCTCAGTAGCGTTCTGAACCTAAGGTATGTGCCAGAATAAAATACATGTACTGGGAGAATTATCGACTGATTCTCGGTATCTGTCTGAAATGTGACTCCTTCATCCATCTCTCTTCTCTTGAAATTTGAGAAACATGCTCTTCTTAACATAGTTGCTGTTTTTGTTGGTGCTGATCTTTGCACTTTGCCTTAGGTCCCAGTCTTTGCTCCCGGTTTCTGTGATGTTTGAATTGCACATTGTTGTAGCAGGGTCTCCCAGCCAGCTAGTTTCAGGACTGAGTTTCCAAAGTTTTGGCTGGATAGAAAGTTTATGAATGGGTTTAAATGTAGTTCCCAGGTGTGGAGAGCACAGTGTGGGTAACTCGGGGTGCCAAATGCAAAGCACGAGGCATTTCAGTGGCTTGTAAGCGCCTGAGCCAGCAGCTGTGGGACCCTGTGGGTGCCCTAGGGCACGGCTGCAGTGCGAATGTCCCAGTATCAATACGAATACAGAAAAGCCACAAACTTCTAAGTAGGCTGGAATGTGGCTTGAGTTGTTTAGGTCTATCCAGCCCAATTTTACTGCGGATGCACAAGAGCTAGGAATTAATTTCCTCGCTTGCCGTCTGTGGATTGTTAGTGCCGCAGGAGAGACATTGGGACCAGTGAGCCTGGGGCCCTTGTCGAGAGCTGCACGCTGCAGCCCCGTTGTCCTCTCCGTGTGAGTCAGTCCCTGGTGGTGTAAAGCTGCTAAAAAATAATGCAGTGCTTATACCTCTGCCCACAGGTGGGTTGTAACCAATTTGAGTTTAATGACGGCAGTAGAGCAGCTCTAACATTTCACTGTGGGCCCTTATTAAAAGAAGTGCTTGTTGCACCTAAAGTGCTGAAAGTTTCTGGGAAGCTGTGGTTTGCGCTGGGGAGGCAGAGGGAAACACCTCGGTGCTGTCTCCCACCTCCCCTGATGGGATGTCCTGCAGAAACGTTTCCACTAGGGCCGTCTCGAGCTAATGCCTATTCATGTAGTCAATGTATTTACATTCATTAAACTATTTTATTTAATTTATTATTCAGCTAAAATTTAATTTGCATTTGCTATACTGACACCAGCCTTCACGTGTTAAAGCTGGCGCGTACCGCACTGCTCTGAACTCACTTTGGCTTGAGTTGAAGTAGTGCTGCTCAGCTCCATGAGAGCTCCTGAGCAGGTACTTCTCCAGGAGGAGATTTTGCCTCTTCCCAGAGGCCTCTTGATATGGAGGAAGAGTTGAAGTTGCCAGTACATCTAAAGTCCTTCAGAAATCATCAGAAAAACACGAGTTACTGATGTTGATGTGATGTGTCTTGTCTTGGGGCTCCCAGGCCCGGCGGCTCCTGCACTGAAGGAGCAGCTGTGGGGGTGCGCGGGGCTCCTCGCTAATTGGGACAGGAGTGCAAACGAGTCAAGAGTAGGAGAGGCTTCTCTTCTGATTCCTCTTCTCTTTAAAAGGACAACAGAAGCTACCCAGGGTTTTCTGTGGAGAACTTTTGGTCTGTTTTTCAGCTGGTTTCTGCCTTTCTCCTGGTGGGTGGCTTGCTGGCATGAAGGCTCCGGGCTGCTCCTGGCCTTCCCAGGGCCTTCTTGGGAGAAGGGGTTGTCTTTCTGCTGTGTGTGTTGTGTTGGCCTTGAACAAGGGATCACGTGCGCTGTGTGGTCTTGGCTTTGGTCTAGTTTTGAGATTTCTGCGCTAGTGATGTGGCACATGTTTTTCTTCTGCTCAGTGCAGAGCTGTGCCCCTTTCTGCCCGTGAAGCCGTGTCGAGTGCTGGGGAGACTTGCCGAGGAACCCTGTGCCGAAACTTGGGCCGCCAAGGAGTGGGGGGGTTGTCAGGTTTGTTAACCGGACACAAAAGCTTTCCCGGGCAGGTCTAAGGTCAGGTCGGGCTGCAGCTCTTGCACACCACATCGCCTGTTTGAAAGATCCAGCTCTTCACGTGTGTCCCAGGAAACCGGGGCCACCAAAGGGACCCAAGTAGCTGAGTGCCGAGCAGTGTGTGTGTATGTATGGGATGTGTGCCTGCGCGCGCAGAGCCGTGGTACCTGGCCGATGTCCCGGGGAAAGCGAGGAGCAGGCGGCTGCGGCACGGCCGCGCTGGAGGCATGCTGTGGCCTGCTCGGCTGCAGCCTCCCCGGGGCACCCGGTGCTCTCAGAAATCTTCAGCTCTGTAATCCCTGCTTCAGTTGCCGGGATTTCTTAAATTAGCACAGAGAGAGGAGTGGTGTTAGGGGGTTGTGTGTGTGGTTTTGTGGTTTGTTTGTGTTTGATATGGCAGAGCAGGGTGAGAGGACAGAAAATTCGTCTGGAAACTACTTTCTGGTTCACTGCCTGGCTGTTTTGTGCTCGCCTGCTTAGTATGGATGGCTGTGCCTGGGCCCAGGCGTGCCATAGTAACTGCCCTCGCCTTGTAATTCAATGCATCTCACTTGCTTACAGGTTTGGCAGCGCTGAAGCGCTCCAGCACTTGTCCCAGGCTGCACTGGTGCAGCACTCGAGGTCGGGCTATTTATAACCACCCCCGGCCAGGGCGATCGGGCCGGCATCCCTCCGCGAGCGCGCCTGAAGAACCTGTTAGATACACGTCTGGTTTTGTTCTGGCGCAGCAGGGAGAGGAGAGCTTCGGCTGTGGGGAGCTGCTCTTGAGCTTCGTGGATATCGTGGTGGTGCGAGCATGGCGGTCTGGGAGGGAGCGAAGGTGCGCAGTGGATGAAGGTCGCTGGGTGGCACGCTGGGAGAACTGCTGTGAGCCCAGTGTCTGGTTCTGGCGAGCAAGCGGGACGTGAGCTCAGGGCGTGCAGGACACCGCACGGAGCCCGTTGCGGGTCCTCTGCCTCCCGCCACCCTGGGGTCAGGTAGGAATTTTCTTTGGAGAAGGCGGCCGACTGTGTGAGAAGGCGAGCGGGCCCAGGCTGCCGCGTGGGAGTTTGCCTTGTGGGGACTTCGATATATGTGTGCAAACAAAACTAACTTTTCTAATCCGGTGCTGTATGAGCCAGGCTACTTGTGATCATGGGGAACAGCCTTTTTGCAAACTGCTGCAGGCACGTCACCGATCTAATCTTCCAGACACGCAGCTTTAACTCGGCCGATGAGAGGTCACCCCTCTTACCAAAGCCTCCCACGAGCTGCGCCGTCTGCCCGGAGATGCCAGAAGCTGCTCAGTGTGCTGTGCTGTATCCAGACATCATTCCCAGCGAGGCAGTGACCGGAAGCCTGCAGAAGTGCACCGAATACATCCAAGACCTATCCAAGGCCAAGGACAAAGAAGGAACGGTGACGGTCTGTGATAAGAGCCGTTTGAGACCCGGCGTTGGCGCTGCTGGCCCGTTCCGGCAGGCAGAGGCATCCCGGGCGGTGGCTGTCCTTCCAGCCGACCTTGGGGAAGGTCCGGCAGGGCTGGTCGATCATGCTCAGTCGCTTGAGGCCTGCCAGAGCTGCATGAAACTTGAGGACAGCGGCTTAGCCCATAGATCTTGCCGCCGGGAGGAGCACGTGGCGGCAGCTGATGGGGGGGATGCGGCCCCTGGAGCACGTCCTGCCGGCCGGGGCCACGGCGAGGGACGAGCAGCCTTAGTGGGTCTGGACAGCGTGCCGAAATGCAGAGGTACTGCTCCCTCCCCGGGGAGCCCTGGGACACCTTCCCCTGCTCTGCCAGCAAGTGCAGGGAAAACGCCGCTGGCCCAAAGGACAGTCGTGCTGCCTGTCCCCCCTGGCGAGGTGTCATCTAAGGCTCGGGACACAAGTACTGGTTTTATAGTGATGGACCCCGCTGCCTGCCCCAGCGGCAGGGTCGTGCTTTGCATGACTGTAACGGGGTGGGTGGCTACGTGTGCCCATGGGATGGGGCAGGATGAAGGAGAGGGGAGGCAAGGTGATATTTCAACTTCACGGCAGAAGGGAAAGGAGGAAGGTGGTGAGGTAACCCACCCGGGGTGTGTACCACAGAGGGACCTGTCTGGGCCTTGTCCGTGTTAGCAAAACAAACATGAAGGGGTTTTGCTTATTTTTTCTTAATTCATAAGGCAAATCCTTCTCTTGTTTGTGAGGGCAAACATGGCCCTTGTAAAGGATGGGAGTGGGTCTGGCAGTCCCGGCCTGCAGCAGTGCAGACAGGAGCACGGAGTGGCAAGGGACAGGAGCAGCATTTGCGTGGAGCCTTTGGCTCCCTTCAGCCCTACCGCTGCCCTGGGTGCAGGGACGGGATGTTCTCTCTCCTCCTTTGCCCTGAGCATCCTCCCGGTGCTGTGGGGGCAGCGGGGCACCAGCCAGTTGCTGCAGCGGGGGAGGGGAGCAGCCGCTCGGCCGCATCCTGCTTTCATCCTCTCCCGCTTCTCCGCGAGCTGGCACAGCACCCCTCTGATGTGGCACCAAGTGATAACTGAGCCGGACTGGCTTTTGTCCTCACCAGGACTTCTAGGATATGAGAAACTTAGATTGTTACTTTTTGAGTTGCAAGGTCAAATTTTGCCTTTCTGTCACTGTATTTTGGTTTTGTTCAGTCCCTGTGCAGTGGCTGAATTGTGGTCTCAAGGAAAAGGTAGGGTTTTAATTTTTGGTTTTTGTGTCTCTAATAATCTCTGCTGTTACTAAATGTCGGGAAGGGAACATCTCCGGTACAGAGCAGTCTCAGGGTTTGGTACTGCTGCTTCCCCCACTCTCCAGACTAGGCAAACTTGCAGGAACATAAATTTGCCACCTTTCTGACCTGATAGTTTAAAAAGAGGATTAGTGACTGACTTTGATTTAGAAGATTTGTTGAAACATTAATTAGTTATTAACTAACACTTCCCACAATCTGTCCTGTCTATGGCTGTGTGCAGCCAGCAACATCCAGGTCTGTCATGCCGGGATCCTGACCGGTCGGGTTCGTGAGGTGCCACCACCTCTGCAGGCTCGCTGTGAGTAGGAACTGTGATTAAAACAGGGCCCGTCACCTTGGCGTGTGTGCTCCTTGTCCGGGTGCAAAGATGATATTTAATCCTTTTGCTGAACCTCTCTACCAGGTGCGAGCCGCAGTCGGGCAGTCGATTCCTCCTGGTGAGGTGATGCCGCCTCCTCCCCTCTTCAGTGTTTTGCTTTGCCTGTTTTCCTGACAGTTTAGTCTTGCATGCGCTCGGGGTTTGTTCACGCTGTGCTCCGAGTAGCAATGAGAACATCGTGTTACAGCCCGGCTGCCAGCCAGCGCAAGCCGGAGCTTAGCCTGCGACGCGCCTGCGGGTATGCACCAAGGGCCAAAAGGAGGAGGGTTTTTGCTGGGACACCGGTGCATCCCTTGGGGTGGCAGGGGAGCATGGAGGTCACCGCGTCTCGAGGCCAACGCGTACCAGGAGGGATCTCCTTGCGCTGTCTCCGGCAGCGCGAGTGGGATGTTACGCGGGAGGAGCGGCCACGTGGTGCCCCCGGAGCGGTGGGACTGCTTCCCCGTGACTCAGCCGCCTCCTGCAAAACTGTCCAGGCAGCATCGCACGGCACTTTCTCCTGCGGGCGAGAGCTGGCAACTAAAGGCAGCTACTGGCCCGTTTGGGGCTTGAACTGAGAGTGAGTAACAGGAGAGAGGTCTCTGCAGGTGTCTTTCAGGTGTCCCTGTTGCTCTTCGTGCCATCTTGAGTACGCTGAAGTCAAGCGCCCGATGCTTTTGCCTCGCTCTCCCTGCCGGCACTGCTGAGGCCGCGGCGCAGGCGGTAGGAACCGGTGACCCACTTTTAAGGCAGGTGGGTGAAGCTCTCCTTCCCCACGGGGAGAGCACGTGGGGTGAGTCAGCACCCTGAAGGCAACACGTCCTCCGGGCCAGCTCGCCTGCGCTGCCGTCAGCTGGCATTGAAAAAAACCCCGCTGTTTTTGTCAAAACATACACATTCTGTAAAAACCCCACTAGAAAGCCTTCACTGGCCTTAAATCAGAGGGTTAACCTGCTGGACAGCCGTTCTTTCTTGGTCCACACGTAACTTGTTTCTGAACTTAAGGCGGTGCTGGCTGGAGCTGGATCTTCTGGCATAAGGAGATGTGAAGGTGTTGCCTCTGCATGTCTCTTCTGTCGCAAAGTGCAGAACTGTACCAGCTCTGTCTTCACTCCAGTAGGGAAGGAAGGGCGGAAGGTGCGAATATGTTGTATTTCTGCAGACAAGAAAGAGTCTTTTGATTTCTGAAGCAATCGGTAGTTTGGGCATCTGATACCCCTGAGTAATGAAAAGGAGGCGTGTGGTCCTGGTTGGTAACTTTTCCTTGAAGCATGCACGCTTTCCCTGTCTTGCTTTGCTTTGCGGCTGAAGGTGTGTGTTTGCTGTGCTCGAGACCAGCATACATGTGGGTTACTCAGCTCTTGTGTGAAACCCGTCTCCTCCTGGTTTGGTTACTGCCTATGGACTGCTGTGTTCCCCACTTCCAGCTCCAAGCTGGCCAGTTCATTTCTGCTTGCTATGGAGGCACCTTCTCTGCTGGATCTCGTTTAGAAAAAGAGACACAAAACAAAATCACATTTACTCAGAGATGATGGTGTCCCTTTCAGGAATATCCTGCCAAATGTTGTGGCACAGAAGTAGTTTCAGTGTCCACCTCGCTACTGCTGATGAGTCGGCTGGTTGGAGAGCATCCTTGGTCAAGCTTTTAGCATGACTACCAAGCACAGGACAGACTGCTGGAGCATCAGGACAGGCGACGTGGCAGAGAGGCAGGAGCTGGCACATTCCACCGGCCGCTCCTTCCACACCTCAGCTGCCAGCAGAAGTCCACTGGTCATAAGCAGTACCTCAAGCCTGGCATCTGTGATGCTGGTGGAAAAGGTCCTGGGTGACGGATAGGTGTCTTGGGGTGGTGGGCAGCACTGCTGCAGCTGTGCCTGGATTTTTCCCTTGGCTGTTGCCACAGCAGTTGAAGATGGGCTGTTGGGTCATCGGTCAGTGCTACAGCCTTCCTTGTAGCCAAATTCTGCCTCCTCTTCCTGGCTGCTACAGAAGGAGCAAAAGTTCGGTGATCCTGCCCCGTGTGAGGAGGCCGGAGCCGGACGAAGCCTGGTGCAGGAGGCTGGCGAGTCGTCCTGTCTGTGGTACCAGTAGCCCCAGGTGTAGCATTTCTGTGACAGCTTTTCTGCTCTCCCTCCTCGTCCCCACGTGTTCAGGCAGTCCGGGACGTGGGTGTGACGAGGGGCTCTCCCCAGCCCTCTGGGCACGGCGTGGTTTTTCTGAAACCATGTCTCTTGGGGCTCTCTTGTGTGGAGCTTTTCTTCCTCCTTCCTAGCATGACTGCAGCTTGCTAGAGCCAGAGCCAGAGCCAGGCCTCTTGTCTGGCTTGCCCGTGGTTTCATCTGTCAAAGAAATGAACAGCTCACGTTGGGGACATACGCAAAGCGACAGGGAACACAAGCAGCAGCTGCCGAGATGCTGAAGGCAGCAGAGGCTGCGTAAGGTAACTCTGTTACCTGCTGCCTTTTGGAACGGGTGTGCTTTCCTTGTGTTTCTTGCTCTTTCACCATGTCCTAATTCAACCTTGACAGCCGTCTCTGAGGTGGGTTTGCTGTTGGCAGTCATAGTCTGGAGCAGCAGTATCACCCTCCGGGGACACTTCAGCAGGGCTCATCGCTGCAGCCTCGTGTTGCGCTCCAGAGGCGTGCAAGGGGATAGAGCGTTTCCATCCCTGTTCTTATGTGCGGTGAAGGCTGAGTGACTATCCTGGGCTGCTGGAGCAGTTGGGGCTGATAGGTGAGAACTAGCTGTGATAGCTTTAGGTCTTCAAGCTGCAGCGCCAGTCTGCGCTTCAGAAATGACGGAGGTTGAGCTGCCATCTCCCC